TCTAACATTGTCCATAACTAGATGACCATAAAGACAGTTGATGGATACTCCACAAAGCATACTGAGGTACATGAGTGACCTAGATGCAATTTGCCCATCCTGCATAACAGGATAAATGTCTAAGAGCCCAATATTGAACTGGACAAAGATGACATGGTATATGCCTTGTGTTCAATATAGACATAAGAGTAAAAGGGTGATTGTACATACAAGTACTATCAAAAAAGGTTTTGTTAGATCACATGATATTTTCGTGACTTGGGTAGCAGTGATGTGTTGTTAGATACTGTTCACTGTTTATTATATTAAATATATGATTTAATATAATTGTCAACGTCACGAGAACTTACAGGGCCACACACATAAGGACAGATTAATGAGAGATAGAATAAATAACAAACACTGTAAGGTACAGTGTACTTGAGAGAATTATGGAACACTGTAAGGTATAGTGTACTTAAGTGAAATATGGAACATCGTATAATATAATAATAAGAGTTAATATTATTATTATTATTATTATTATAGTTTAATAAAATATGTTTATTATAATAATGGTTATTATAATAATAATAATATTATTATTATTATTATTATTATATGGTGCACTTAAGTTGGGCTTTTTAGCTTGCAGCTCACACAAGTAGTTCTATAAATACAACTTTTGTGTAGAAGTTTTAGAACATGATGAAATTTAGTTGGTGAAATCCTGGTCGTATTTCTCCCTTTCTCTCTCTCCCTCAAAGTTTTCATTCGTAGTAGCTAACACTGAGATTGAAGGCACTCTATTCGTGTGGACTGAGTAAAGATATTGTTCTTCATTCAACGCTCGTGATCATTCATCCGAATCTGCATAAAAAATTTTAATCATCACAAGAGGTAATCATTTCTATTACTGATCATGCTCATTCGTGAGGATCACAAAAGGAAAAATTTTAATTTCCGCTGTGTTTTGGATCGTGATTTCCCTCCACAAATTCACATGTAGAGCTGCATTGCGTAAAAAGAGCTCAATATGGAATATCGCTACTATAAGCGCGCCCCACACTTCCACAACGACTTCAATGTCACAAGATTATAGAAAATTAGATTTGGAAATTATTAGCCACAACATCAGGGAACATGTTAACAGTTACGCTTCACTAAAATTTAAAGTCATACAAGCCCATATTGGCGAAAAATACAGTTACAGGATTTCATACAGGAAAGCTTGGATTGCAAAGATTAAGTCTATAGAATCACTTTATAGGAATTGGGAGACGTCTTATAATGACCTACCACAGTGGTTGTTGGTGATGAGAACATATCTTTCTGGAACTGTTATACAGTTGGAAACACTGCCAGTAACTACAGACGATGGAACCCAGTTGGGCGACAAGAGGAAGTTTCACCGTCTTTTTTGGACGTTTCAACCGTGTATCCATGGTTTTACTTATTGCAAACCTATTGTGAAAGTTGACGGAACATGGTTGTACGGCAAGTACAAAGGAACTTTGTTGATGGTTATGGCACAAGATAGAAACAATAACATTTTCCCGATAGCATTCGCATTAGTTGAAGGTGAGACAAAGGATGGTTGGAGTTTCTTTCTCAGGAATTTAAGAAAACCCCTAGGCTAATTTGTGTCTCATATTTGACCGATATCCATCAATCAAGAGTGCTTACAATGATTCTGAAAATGGATGGCAAAATCCTTCATCTTCACATGTTTACTGTATCAGACACATTGCGCAAAACTTCATGTGTGAGTTCAGAGACAAAGAACTACGGAAAACAATTGTCCACATGGGTATGACTCCATCTTCACATGTTTATAGTTACAATAAATATTTATTTAGTTATTCATTTTCAATTGTTTTACTTAACATTTTTACTACAAGATATGTGTTGATGGAGGCAATATTTAACTACTACTGGGGCGAAATACGAAGAACAAATAGAGCAGCTTTGGAGTGGATAGACAGTATTTCCCGAAAGAAGTGGGCGAGGGCGTTTGGCGGAGGACAACGATGGGGACATATGACAACAAATTTGGACGAAGCAATGAACTCGGTACTTAAGGATACCTAAAACCTTCCTATTATTGCAATGGTCAAATCTACATACTATCGTATGGGATCGCTGTTTGGAAGACGAGGCCATGATTGGATAAAAATGTTGGCTTCCAGTCAACCTTTCACGGATAACTATAATAAGGTAATGGCTGAATAAGCGAGTAAATCTAGCAGCCATAATGTCATCCAATTTGATTGCGAGAGATTCTGTTTTATGGTTGCCGAAAGAATTAATCAAAACGATGGTCGACCATTAGGTACTTTTAGCGTTGATCTCAGGAGAGAGTGGTGCGATTATGGGAAGTTTCAAGCATTTCATTTACCTTGATCCCATGTAATCGCAGCATGTGCTAGCATACGACATGACCACAACATGCACATACCAGATGTTTTCAAGGTTCTGAGTGTTTTTAAAGTCTACAGGAAAACTTTCTTGGACTTTCACACCACAAAAATTGGCCAACATATGAAGGATTTACTCATTGCCATGATGAGACAATGTGAAGGAAGAAGAAAGGACGTCCAAATAGTACAAGAATAAGAAGTGAAATGGACGATCTTGAGAAAGAAAAGAGAAGGTGTGAGATTTGTCGAGAAATTGGTCATATGCGTAAAAAAATGTCCAAATGTAGCAGGTCCGTCAAATCGGCCCGTCTAGATTAACTTTTTGTTTTTTTACTTTAACTTTAAATTAATATAACTTTAATTTAGTTGAATTTCAATTAATATAACTTTCATTTGTCTCATACAACTTTCATTCAACATTAGACAATATCAAAATAAATAAACCACAATCAAACAAACAAGACGATAAACATTATAACGATTTAAAATCTAAACATGCCTAGACTATTACAACCATAAAGACAATATCTAGTTGTCCATACATCATCATAACACAATCATAATCGTTTTTTACAGCTTTATAGGCCTTGTCATCTCCATCTTTAACAATTCTTTCAATTCTTCTAATATTTTCACCTTCAGGAATTTCTCCTTATAACCATCTGACCAAGCTTCTCTGTAAGTGCTCAAATGTCATTGTGTTCCACAGTTGGATCTTCAGTGGTGGCTTTATTTGAGAAAAAACCAGTTGAGCATCTCTTTTGGTGAGAGGAGTATTTGGATTGGTAAAATACTTCATTTTCTATGAAATTTTTTAGACTAAAATGATAAAATGGATGTAGATGATTTTAGATCTAAAAGTACCCAAACAATGTTATATATAAAATAAAATAAAATAAAATTTCCCCTGCTCGGCCAATGGATGACCGAGCTTCTTCATGCAATTATTGATGTGCAATTGGTAAAAATAAATTATATTTTAAAATATAATTATGGTATTAATTGATGATATTTATTATAAAACTAATTTTATAAAAATATAAATGTTTTATTCTATTATAATATTATTTAAAAAAATTAATTATTATTATTTTAATGTTATTATATTATTTAAATTATTTTTAAATAATTTACACAATTTTTAATATTAATTTATGTTATTTATAATATTAATTATATTATAATATATATATATTATATTTTATATATATTGGAACATTAAATAAATAAAAAAGGTTATTCAATTGTTTGGCCATGGCCGAACCCATGCACGGATAGAAAAGGCTTCAATGGTTCGTCCAACTATTGGCCGAACTCATACTAAAATGATGACATTCTGGTGTTTTTTTTAATCTGTGGCGTTTTGATATTTATTACTCCTTTCGTTCTACAATAAGTGACTCATTTAAAATAAAGTAAAAATTGTCATAAAATGAATGATCGTTTCAATGTATTTTTTTCAATTTTACTCTCTAATTAATATTACTTTTATCATTCTTAATACATGATAAAAATATTTTAGTAAAAATATTATTCTCTTTCTTTTAATTATTATTATTTTTTTAATATGCGTCAAAAGTCAATCAAATCACTTATTGTGAGATATTATTTTTTTAATATGTGTGAAAAGTCAACTAAATCAGTTATTATTAGACGGAGAGAGTATTTTAAAGAATAATATTGCTGTAAAAAAATCAAGTTCTTAATTAAATAAAGACAATGAAATCATCTCGTTTGAATCTTCCAATGAACAATCATTGGATTAAATAAAGCTTGATAAACAAGCATTAGTCACTTTCTAGCCAAAGGCTAAATCAATCTTTGTCTAGAACAATCTCAATAGATAAAACTGCCAACAATCAATTCCGCATAAAGCGAGTTATAGCCACCAAAATAATTGGTAAAAACTCCCATAAAAGATCCAATAAAATCTCACCAACACAAATGAAGAGGTCGTGAGATCCATGCCCCATTTGTGTTGTATTTAAAATTTGCTACTTGCTTTAGAATTAGACACTAAGAGGAATATTAACAAAATAGAAACATTTCAAACAATAACCCTTGGCAGCATTTAGACATCATGAAATAAAATTCACCAAAGAGAATGAGTAGGAAAAAGAGATTTGAGTATCACCTTATGACATCATTTCAAAACAACCCTTGGCAGATAATGAATCTTTGTTGATTTAAAACATCCTTCCAAAAGAATTATAATTGCATTGACATAGTAAAAATCTTTAGAACAATAACACGTATAGATCAAATGAAATAAAATTAGTCAAAAAAGATATACGATAGATCAAATGAAATAATTCTACGTAAATTCTGATCACATAAATCTATTATTTTGTACATCATTCAATATCAAAATTTATCTTACAAGAAACATCATTGGGTAAGATTAGCTACAGGCCAACTCAAATTGAAGATCTTAAAAACTTCAGTTTCTGATTGAATGCCAACAACGCTCCAATAGACAAACCGAACATGGTTGTATGCAACAAGATCTTGATTTTGATTTTTCACAGGGAAGTAACAATACATTATCATAACCAGCAACCAATTTGCTTATTCATCTACAACAAGAACAATGTGACTCGATTACTCGCTTAAATCATCATCAAAATAATTCAGATCCGACTCATCGTCCGTGGCGCCGTCGATGTTAGCATGATCTGCATCTGATGATCCTACTGCTCCGTCAGCCATAGTCATAAGCTCAAGGGAACCCTTTAGATGCCTTGCAGCTCCATCTTCATAGTCAATTGAATCATTTTCATATTCATCGTCTAGTTCAACTCCAAAAGGAATATTCTACAAAAACAAAAGCCAAAACAAATATTCAATTAGATTCCCTGCAGTTGGGAAATGGTGCAGTCAAAGAGTCATTGAATTGAAGACCATTTGATTGAAATCAGATGATACAGTTTAAACATTAATAACATTAAAATTTAATGATCAGATTGGATGGCTTGTGACGGCAGGGAATCCATTTCCGAAATAGTTGGTGCTTCGCTACCCCAGAACATATGCTGAAGTATCTTAAAACACAACAATACTCGATTTATGTTGTTTGTATCAATGCAATAAATATCTAACATGTAACTGAAAGTCACATTCATAGGTCGCATGTACGTAACACCAACAGTTCAACATATAATCCAAATAAAAAATCTATCTGAGCTAATTGGGTTAGACTTTTGAACCCTTTGCATTTAAGTGAATAATCAAGAACAATTACATATCGATTATTATATCGTATAGTGACAAACATAAAGTGCAGGAAGCATAAAAATATAGCTTAACAATAGCCAAGACAACTATAAATGTAACTGGAATCCAATTAACAGCAATTATTGCTAAGCACTGATTACCTTGTCACCATCGTAGCTTTGTGCAGTGGTATCAACTATCCAGTCACTAAATAAATGCTCTTGTAGAACACTGTCAACAGAGGTTGACTTTGACTCCCTGGACCTTTTCCTTACTTGGCATTCTCTAAGGCGCAAGTTATAGTGAACGTACATAATGTCGTTAAGTTTCTTCTGAGATAGACGATTTTTTCTTTTGCTATATATCTGATCATACATATTTGAATCATGCTCACATGCAAAAGATGAGCATGTTTGACTTAATATTCGCACGGCTATTCTTTGCAACTCTAAGCAACTTATTCCATGCTGTTGCCACCAAGCAGCTAGTGAGGCAAACAAAGTAAAGTAAATCAATAAACTTATACAGAACTAGAAACGCACCAATACATATTTAATCGATACATGGAGCATATAACGCGGTAATTTACCTGGTTCAAGACCTGTTCTTGTGCTAATTGCCAATTCAGTTCCAAAATCATCTTGTGCAGAATTATAATGAGCAATCTGGAAATGACATCATCGTGAACAAGGCATGATAATTAAAAATTATCTAATAAAGTCTATCACATAGAAGTCATTAAGGATATCTTACTTGCATTGATGCAGATATTTGTCTCAAACTATCTAGATCTAGCCGAACAATGCATTCATTCAGCCCTCGTACTACCTCAGAATGCTATAGTCATATCAAACATTCACTTCAGGAAAGATCTTGAAAAAAATAAAAAAATTTGCAAACAATAGGAAAATATTCAATACGATGACATACCGCAACAAAATCCTGACGATATCGGTATGATGGGTTCAAGAAGTAAGCAGCCAAGTAAAGAGGATGACAGAAAAGAGAGTTACAATGTCTGTCTATCACCTTCCAGAATGGTTCATATTTACGTGCATCATCGCTATGACCAAATTTAATTGCAAGTCTTGCCCTGTACAAGTCGTTATATAAATATGGCATTGACAAGCTCTCTCCACTAGACACCTTTTGAATCACTTGCAAAATGGGCTCGACTGACTTCCTCACATACTGCATTTTCTTCCAAAATGTAACATTCAGAACAATTCTTTGCACCTCTTTCCCCTCACTTGAGCTGGAGAACCTGGATGACATCCATTTGTTTGAAAGAAACATTCGTCTGAGACTAACTCGATGATCCAACAAACTCAGCAATGTAGCAAAGCTAGAGGCACACTGAGTACCAGCTGGTTTAAGAAGATCCTTTCCCTGGGTAAATTCACTTTTCATAAGATTTAACAACCATATTTGATTGTATATTAGTTTTGTAATTTTTTGGCCCTTTTCCATGCATTCTTCTACACATCTTATCTTCATGAAATCTTCAAGCACCTGATTAATACAGTAGGTAGCGCAAGGCGTCCAAAATAAATTCCTTCTCCTCTCTTCAAGCATTTTTCCTGCAGCTTTATAGTTAGGAGTATTTTCAGTGATTACCTACATCAAAAGGGGGAAATAGAAGAACCAGATTAATAACAGATACAAGGTAATATTCAAGATGAAGGAGAATTCCCTAAGAATAGAAAGAACATTTTACCTGCACTACATTTTCCTCACCTATTTCTTCCACTACTTTGTCCAGAAGCTTAAATAAATATGGTGCATCTTCTACCACATTAGTGGCATCAACTGATGAAACATAGTATACACCGTGAGGACATGAAACAAGAAAGTTAATAATTGTCCTACCCTGGGTATCTCTCCAACTATCAGCCATTATAGAACAACCAGTGATTGCCCATGAAGCCTTATATTCAATAAGGTAATTCTTAATGGAATTGATTTCTTCCTGCAAAAAGCGACTAGAAATAATCTGGCTGGGTGGGCATACCAGTCCTTGTCCATATTGACCAGCCATTTCCAGCATTTTATGAAAATATATGGAATCAGCAGCTTGTAAAGGAATTCCTGCATGGCAAAAGAACTTGCATATTGAGGAAATAACTTCCTTGCGTAATTTCTTCGTGGACCCTGTCTTGACTTTTAAATGTTTGTAAGTTGTAGGAGTCTGAATCATGGGAGGTTTCTGGTAAAAACTATCCAATTTTGATCTTCTCAACACTGGTTCTGGGCCAGTATTTGGGGGCATTCCCTTGAACGTCTTTGCTGTATCTTTGGAGTATCTCCTATCAATATCAATCAAAGCTTCCTTGTTCATATGATGCAAAGTATCTTCCGGTTGCTCATATTCGTCATCATCATTATCGGACTTCGGATAGAAAGGCAACAGTTCCTTACCCTCAGGTTGCCTGTGCCTCTTTCCAGTGCGATGCCATTTCATATTATCTTTAATTTTAAGATAAACTTCTTCAGGAGCACTTTTACATGGTGCTACCTCTCCAGGAATTCTAGCCAAATGTTGTTTAAACCTATTAATACCTCCACTGACAACTTTCTCACAGTAACTGCATTTAACTTTTTTCTTTCTCTCATCCTGAGCAACACCGTGTTCCCACCCTGGGTCAATGTATCCTAAAGATCGAAGAGGAGTCAAATTTACAGACACATTCCTTTCAACCATCAATTGCCTCCCTTTACTTCTACACCCAACTTGCTCTTCATCGTCTTCATCATCATTAGAGTGGAAATTCATATATGCCTGTGCATCAACTTGCTTTTGTTTCTTATTGGAACGGCACCCATCCAGATTTTCCTTCATTTTAAGGTAGACTTCCTCTGGAGCCTTTTCACAGTATGTTACTTCACCAGAAACTCGAGCTAAATGCTGTTTTAATCTGTATATCCCACCACTAACAATTTTCCCACAGTAATTACATCTAACTTTCTTTTTGCGCTCATCTTGAGCAATGCCATGATCCCAACCAGGATCAACAAATCCAGTGGAACGTATTGGAGCCATCACATCCAAATCGGAGCTATCACAATTATACCTGCATAAGCATGTGGGATGAATACAAGGCACATAAATATTTAACGGCTATAGCATATAAAGTAATCCAAGAGTCACCTCAGTTCCAGTAATCTCTAGGTGTCAAATAATAGGGGATGCTTGAAAGCATCAAAGATACCGAGAAAAAGAGTACATAAGAGAAAGAAAAACCCATTTCGCTAAGGTGAGTAGGATGAATCCAAAGAAACATCAATACCTTATGTCTCATTGAATACGGTGAACAATGAGAAATACTTTGTAACAATTTTCAAGGCAGTCTTCTGATGAAAATCAAGGGCCCAATGTTGGATAACAAAAGCACCATCAACTTCATCGATTACAAAAACAGCCTACACAACCACAGATTATATTTAAGAAACATACATTTTACAACACTCAAAAGGGCATTAAGAAATAGCAACCAACAGGTACACAGTTGGACAAAAATCTTGAGTTTTTGATCGAAACGTCCTAAAGATACCAAGTTTGGACTAGCATCGAGAGATATCTACCTGATTCCACATTACATCAATCCAAAGGCAACTCATGCATTGCACCTATGAGCTATAAAAAACACCCATTCAAATTTTAAACATAACGAATGGAACCCAACTTGAAGAAATCTTTCATTTACCTTTCTTGTCTCTAATTACCCTTAACCTATGTCATAGATGCAATACTAAGGCTAAGGCACTAAATGCTTTCACCATCCTTTGGTAACTACAGCAGAATTTGACATCAAGAGTCCCTCTTACCATGCTATCTTACCAATCACTGGTTTATCCCAATCACTTACCCTAAACCTTAAACCCTAGAAAAAAAAACTACAAATTCAGAAATGAAAATTTTACTCTTCCCCAAACAAAACCTCAGAACTACTGGATCAAAAACTTCATCTAGAAAAATCCAATTAAAACCTAACCATAATCTGGAGAAAATTGTAAATAATTCAAATAACCTAGAAAAGTAAAATAATTTGAGAAAAAACAGTGAAAACTCGACGAAATTTCCTTAATCACACACAATTTCCTCAAAATCACAATTTCCTTTTCTGGTTAAATTGAATTCTAAGAATAAGGAGCTCGATCATATAAAGAAGAGAAAGTGTGAAAGCAACCTCGACGGAAGACGATCCAGATCGCAGTGGACTCCGCGGTAGAGTAAGTTCTTCAGGTGGTGGAAGATTGATGGCGCCGGAATCGTTCGGTTGTTGGCGGCGGAGGCAAAAATTGCTTAGGAATCGTCGTGAGTCGCGGTTGGATTACTGGGTGAGACTCTCAACTCGACCCGGCCGCGTTATACGATTTTTTCAATTTCATTTATTTTCATTTTCTTATAAATTAATATAATTATTTTATTTTTCGGAAATAATTTTAAGAATTAACATATTGGTACCAAAATGTAATTTTAATTATAATGTTTATTATACTTTCATATTTTTATGAAAAATGTATATTATATTTTATGCTGTGAATTATTGGTTGGAAAATTAAATAATTTTTTTAACTGTAAGTACATCAACTAATTCAGTATTGTTAAATAAATTTTTTTGCTGTAATCTGGCAAATTAATTTATATAATTTATATAAAAAATGAATTTAGTGAGTTGACTCAGGTTTTTTAATGGGACTCAGAGGAGAGGGTCTTAACTCTCGATGTAACGAATGCACAGGAAAATTGTTTTCGGTATATTTGGATAGAAAAAAAGAAACTACTCTCTATGACAGATTTTAATAAATAAATTATTTTATACTAAGTTTTTAAAAAATATTTAAAATTAGACATTCGAAAAAAAATCAAAATTAAAATATATATTTTATGTTAAAATTTGGAAAAATATATAAAACTAAATATTTGAATAAAATTCAAAATCAAAATAAATAGATTCTATTGAATTGTATTTTAAATTTAATATTGGATTTGTACAATATTATTCTTCTAATGTACTATGAAACACTCATGTGGTCAATCTAATAAGTAAATTGTGATGATTATGGCATAATAGAAATAAGAGAGAGCGATTTTTTTTAAGAGAGAGATAGAGAGTAGAATGAAAAAACATAGATTTATAACTTTCACAATTTCTTTAAAAGAGAAAAAAAAAATGAGAAGTGGTATTTTGCTAATAAGTTTACGATTTATTAATGTATGAAATATTAGTTTAAATAGATTTTAGTTTTTTTTTATAGAAAAAGAGAATTAAATGTCCAAACACAAAAATATATTAGGGGCCAAGTTTCATAGAAAAATCAGCACAATCATCTACAAGCATTTGATTTAATTGTATAAGAAAACCTTTAAATCATGTATAATTTACTAAGTCCGATGTGACAAGTTTGATCAGATAATCAACACACTGATTAGTTTCTCTATAAATGTGCTCGAAACATAAAGCTTCAAACTTTTTATCTTGAAGAAGAATACGCCTAATCAAATTCGAACCATGTTTTTGCATCAGATTCAACCCAGCAAGAACTTCAGTAACAAACTTTTTATCAACTTGAATAATAAGCCTCTTGAAACATTTCTTCCAAACAATATGTAGACCAATGAGCATTCCCCAAAGCTCAGCATTAAGACGACTACAATTTCCAATAATCTTATGGAAACCACCCTGCCACCTACCATGAATGTCTATGAATAAACACTTGTAACACCCCAAATTCTTGGAATATTTATTTAATTTATTTAAATATGAATATTCGTATTTTTGGTGATTTTCGGTGGTTGGTGTGAATATTGGGAATTATGGAGTTTTGAGTTATGTATTTAAATAATAGTATATAATATGAATATATTTGGTATTATTACTAATCTAAATAAATATAAGTTAATTTAAGGGCAAAGTGGACATTTGAGGAGGAGTTAGTGAGAGTGAAATTGGAAAACTCATTTTAAAAGCCCAAAGTTAGGTTTAACAAAAAGGAATTTTGAGGGAATTAAGATTTATTCTTACTAGACCGTGAAAAGTGAAGAAATAGAGGTCAGAGCTCCGAGGAAGAGGATTGAGGTAAAAACTTCGCGAGGTTTCCAAGAATCAAGGAGAAAGGCTTAGAGTCGGCAATTAAGGTATGAGGACTATTGCCTTCATTGTTTTCAATATATGATTCAATGTATTTAAAGCCGATTTAAGGATTTATGAGATTTTTGAGTTTGAGAAAATTAAGCCTTCGTGGCCAAACCTGTTTTTGCCATTGACGTAGTGGACTAGGAAGGTTCAAGCTTTTGTTTTGGATGCAAAGTGTAAAGAAAGTTTCAAGAGCTTTTGAGAAGGCTGACAGCAGCTCATGTTTTGATTTTGCTGAATCCGGCAGAACCATTGTTGTATATTGTGATGCTTCGTTGATGGGATGGGGAGTTGTTTTAATGCAACATCAGCAAGTTTTAGCTTATGCTTCAAGGCAACTTAAAGTGTATGAGAGGAATTATCTAACGCAGGATTTAGAGTTGGTTATTGTTGTGTTTGTCGAAGCTTTGGAGGCATTATTTGTTTGGTTCGAGATTTGAGACGTTTAGTGATTATAAGAGTTTGAAGTATTTCTTTGATCAGAAAGAATTGAATGTGAGACAAAGGAGATGATTGGGACTTCTGAACCATTATGGTTTTAGTTTGAATTACCATTCGAATAAAGCAAGCGTGGTAGCTGATGCATTAAGTAGGAAATCTTCGCATATACCGATGATGATGGTAAAAGAGTTAGAACTGATTGAGCAATTTCATGATATGACTTTGGTTTGTAAAGAGACTTCTTATGGAGTTAAGCTTGGTATGTTGAAACTTACTAGTGGTATTCTTGATGAGATTCGAGAAGGTCATAAATCTAATTTGAGTTGGCAGATCGGTTGAATTTGATGAATCAAAGTCGAAGAGCTGATTTTCGAATTAATGAAAATGGTATCATGAGACGTCATGATAGAGTTTGTGTTCCATATATTGTTGAGTTGAAAAAGAGTATTCTTGAGGAAGGACATCGAAGTAGATTGAGTATCCATCACGGTGCTACGAAGAGGTACCAGGATTTGAGGAAATTGTTTTGGTGGCAAGGGATGAAGAAAGAAGTGGCTGAGTTTGTGTATGCTGGTTAAACTTGTCAGAAGTCGAAGATTGAACATCAAAGACCGTTGAGTCTGATGCAACCGTTGAATATTCCAGGGTGGAAATGGGATAGTATTTCCATGGATTTTGTGTCGGGTTTTCCGAAGACTGTGAGGGGGAATGATTCTAATTGGGTGATTGTGGATAAATTGACTAAATCAGCTCATTTCTTACCAATGAGGATTAATCGTTCTATGTTGAAGCTAGTTGAGATGTATATTGAGGAAATTGCGAAGTTGCATGGGATACCGTCAAGTATTTTGTCAGATGGAGATCCGAGATTTACGTCGAAATTCTGGAAGAGTTTGCATGACGCTTTGGGTACCATGTTGAGATTGAGTTTGGCCTATCATCCGCAGATGGATGGATAGATAGAGAGAACTATCCAGTCTTTAGAGGATTTGCTGAGAGCTTGTGTGTTGGATCAAGGTGGATCGTGGGATAGTCATTTGTCGTTGATTGAGTTTACCTATAACAACAGTTATCATTCTAGTATTGGAATGGCACCGTATGAGGCATTGTATGGTAGGAGATGTGGGACTCCTTTGGGTTGGTATGAGTCAGGCGAGAGTGTTATGCTCGGACTTGAGATTGTTCACCAGACGACTGAAAAGATCAAGAGGATCCAAGAAAAGATGAAAGTTTCGCAGAATCGTTAGAAGAGTTACCATGACAAGAGGAGGAAAGCACTTGCGTTTCAAGAGGGAGATCACGTGTTTTTGAGAGTTACGTCGGTAACTGGTGTTGGCCGAGCTTTGAAGTCTCGAAAGCTCACACCGTGTTTTATTGGTCTGTATCATATTTCGCAGAGGGTGGGAGAAGTAGCATATCAGATTTATTTACTGCCGCCGCTTGCAAATTTGTATGATGTGTT